AGTTTTTACAGCACGTGTGACAGTGAGTGTGGGTGAGTGTATGTGTGTTTGTGTCTACGTGAGAACAGTTTTTAAACCTGACACTTAAATATAGTTAAGACTTGTTGCAATGTTCAGACTTCGCCCCCTCAGTTGAAACCTTGAATTTTTTTGGTAAGATCTATTAATTGTATTTGTCCTTAATTTAAAATGATGAATCTAGTTTGAATCAGCTGTTACTCCAAGCTATCATGCTTAAGCTATGTCAACAGCATTTATTTGTACTAATGCTAATATTTCCATCAAAATTTGCCTGTGGAACATATACAGTTCTTAATTTTAAAATGTCAGTTCTTGAGATATACTGTATGAAGCTATTGTCAGCTTCTCCATTTCAAAATGCAATCAGCATATAACTATATTGATATTAGAAAATATTTGTTTTTTAAAATATATTGATGTATGATAAAGATGATCTAATTTGTGAATGCATATGCGTGTGTGGTTACTTTTTATAATGTGAAATAATGAATAATGAATTTACTCAAAATAAAACATAGGTTAATGAGATACCAGTGTTTGTGAAAAAAGTTTTAAATACTTTCCTGCAGCTTTTATTCTACAGTTAACGAGTAAGACAGTTCATTTTTAAGTAATGAACGAGCAGCACACCAACATCAACTATAAATTATTCAGGGGACAGCTACTCAGCGTGAGACTTGGTCCGAGACATTTGCTTCCCCTTTGCCTTTCATATGGCCTCTTCTGGGCTATTTTTAGTGATTCTTAGTATCTTTCATTTAAGGACAAAGAAATGGAATTGTTGAACTTCTCATTTGGTCAGTAGTTAAAACTTGGGTCGATTTGAGAGACTGGACAATATGGGCTCAGTGAATTCAGTATTCTTTGTGGATTTTATGTAACTCAGCATCACTCACATGGAACTGAGCGCACGATTAGGAGAGAATAGGTGGTGCATAATGGCACATCCAGCGCTTCGTTTCATACTCAGCATTGACTCTGTTGCTTTAAATAAAATGGAGAATTTCAGTTTATTTGTTCAATAATAACTAATAATAATAATAGCAGAGTTAGGGGCTTTATTTTCCATCGTGTGCGTGGGGAAGAGTAAAGTGCTTTGTCACTAGGGCACGTAGAGTTCAGGAGTACGTGCAAGTCAGCCGGGGTTTTGTTCCTACTCAACTGGAACAGGTCTTGTTCCTGTCAATTAAGACGATTTATCAAGATTACTTTAGGTAGTATTCTTTTTTTTTCCCCACAGAGCATGATTTGTAAAACTGTTGACCTATTTGCTAAGATTACACTTCCAAGGACGGATATATAAAAACAGTAAAAAACAAATTGGTGACAGTTATGAATATCCACGTATATCTCAATTTACACCAGACGCAAGACTGATACTCTTAGTAAAACAACTCACCAAATAGATCCTTTAGAATAGTTGTGTGACATCTGTCGCTGCAGTGAAATAGGGATGGCTGACTCCTTTATCTTCTTGTTAATTATGGAAACCTGCATTTTTAAGGACAGGTTCTAGAATGTCTCTAGTTCACATTACAAGTGAAATAACAGACCCTGTAGAACTCCGTTTTACTGGCAGAAATGGAGACCGGGCCAAAAAGGATTTTACTAATAAGCAAGAAGAGCATATGGAGTCTTGCTGACATTACCTCATACACATTCAAAATCATTTCCATTATTTGACTTCCTGAGTTCAGATATCTTATTCTGGAAGGATGGCTCCATGAGCCCTGCAGTCAGTGGGTATGTGTGAGATACTCAAACTGAAGTAGACCAGACTCTTCAGCTTGAGTAGGAGTTTTGCAGTGAAGATAAAATGAATTGGATCAACTCAGTGATCTGTTGTCAGTTTTTACAGCGCGTGTGACAGTGTGTGAGTGTGGGTGAGTGTATGTGTGTTTGTGTCTACGTGAGAACAGTTTTTAAACCTGACACTTAAATATAGTGAAGACTTGTTGCAATGTTCAGACTTCGCCCCCTCAGTTGAAACCTTGAATTTTTTTGGTAAGATCTATTACATTTTTCATTAGTCTGCCTTTTTCACCACACATAGATATACTTAGAAAAGCTGAAACCTAGGGTCTTAGGGATTTCTTCAATCATATATGGGGGGATTACTTTTTTTTTTTCCATATCACTGTTTCCAAAGCAGGTGTTTTTTTTGTTTTGTTTTTTAATTTTATTTTATTAGGTTATATTAGTCACCATACAATACATCATTAGTTTTTGGTGTAGTGATCCACGATTCATTGTTTTCATATAAGATAAAAAAAGTTTCTTAAAGCAGGGAATATGGCCATTTGCGGCCTCCAAGGGCAACGTGTTAGATATAATTTTATGTGCTGTCCTTGTTCTGCATGCACAGGGGGAGGGGAGGGTCAAGTTGGGTCTGCACAGTCTAGGAGTCCTTCCATAACAATGAAGCTTTTTATAGCTGGGTTTGGCCATATTTGTTTCAGGGGATATTATGTTCTCATAGACTTTTCTAGATTTCATCTGTTAAAGGTGGGCGATTGGAATTCTCTTTTATTTCTCTTTCCACAAACACACTTGACTGATGGAATACTAACAAGTCAATTAAGCATATTGATTGGACTTAGTTCTCTATGTTTGCCTTGTTCCAGGTCCTAGCATTGTCAGCCAGTGCTCATGGAAGGAATTCAGGAACGAAGTAACATGCAGATTTTAGAATGGCGAAAAGTCGGTCTTTAGACTGCTACTTAATAGTATTACCTTAAGTACGATTCACATTACTCTGATTTATATTCACAACCAAGATGACTAATAAATTCATTTTAGGTATATTTAAACATTGGATAGCAAACAGAAATCCAATTAGGCATTTAGGCAACATATTTGACACTCCCAATTAGCTAGCTCTCTCCATGGTTCTCTGAATTTGCTCCTGAAATATTTTCTTGTCTCTAGAACAGAAAATGACTAAGAAAATTTCGGAGGTATATGCTATTTCCCTTTTAACCTTGGGACAAAGCCCATGCTTATGTTCTGTTTAAGCAAAGTGGGTAACAGAGGGACATGCCTGGTGCCTGTATATTTAGATTGATGTTTTAGGTAGAAGGGAGAAAGAGTGAAATGGGCCAGGGGGCTGGGGTCAGGCCACACCACATGGGGTGACCTTGTGGGGTGACCTTGGGCAAACGTTCTCCTTTCTCTGAGATGAGATTTTTGCCTTGAAGGCAAAAGTGCCTGCAGCCTGTCGATGTCCTCATGACCCATGACCCGGTCTGTGTGCCCCAGTCCTTTCTTGTGCGTGAAATGAAAGTATTGAACTCGATCTGCGGCTCAGTTAATGCCTGTCAAAGGATCTGCTGTACCACGGAGAAGCCAGGGCTGCCCCAAGGCTGGGGCCGCGGTCAGGACTGCCCATAGCTGTTTTCTTCTAATTTTAGTCAGCAAGAAATGGTTCTGTAACAGGTTAAAATAAAACACTTCCTTTGCTCCAGAGGAAAGTAAAGAGAGCGAAGCACATGACTCATGAAGAATGTGTCTTCCTCCCAAAGGCTTCGTCTTGAAATAGGGTTCTGATCTACGGTTTTTTTAAAGTCCAGATACGTGAGTAACAGAGAAAGGTAAAGATATTCTACCAAGCTAGTCTTAAGTTAATAACAAAGGCTCTGAGAAACAGGCTTAAAAGTACCAGACAGACGGTACAGACCTCTCCTTAAAATAGTGTGAATTTAATAGTTGGATTTGTCTGAGAATGGCTCAGACCAGCAGGGGACAAGGGGGACACTCTTCTTCGGCCACCGCGGGCCACCAGACCCAGCCTCGGCTGGAGCACTAAGTACTTAGGCATGTCTTAAATCAGAGGAGAGCTGGAGTCACCACGCTGCCCAGAAATAGAAACATTCTAGAGGTTTCTTCATACATCATGAAGTGAAATGTCTGGTCCGCTTGGATGATGGGAGGCATGGAATAAGCAGTAATTTCCTGCAGGGTTCCCACCACTGCCTCCGTTGTTTTTTTTTTTTTTTTTTTTATCATCCACCATTACTGCTCCACGTAAAACCTAGAAAAGGAAATAATGTGGAAGACGATTTATGGGGCAGTGGTGAGGAGGGAATTAATTGGGCCCCTTGACATTTTTTGCTACAGTCCTACCCATGGGGCTGTCCATGATCCTGGGATTTAATGATACAGGCTCATCTGTGCTGAAAGGGTCTGAGGTTGTACCAGGCACTGCCTTAGGAGCCCGAAACAATACCAGGGGACCCCAGACCATATTGTGGGTGTGGACCCAGGGGACTCTGCCTAGCCAGTGCATGCACACACGCAGGAAATCAACAAATACTTAGTGAGCATGGGCTTTGTGCTACTGATTCTTGAGTGAACTGATGCTCCCCCCCCCCGCCCCCGCAGAAGGTTTCCACACTGCCTGGGACCCTTGAATACTTTGACCTTCCTTTTGGCAGGCACAGTGGGGGCAGGGGCCTGGTTACTCTTCTGTAGAAGCTTCCCCAGTCACTCATACTGCTCTGAGGCTGTGCCTTGGGTCCCTGAAGTCTCCCTGGACCCTGGGTGCCTGGACTCAGGCTGCTCATCATGTTTGGGAGGCCCTCTTGTCCAGAACCCTCATGTGATGCAAATGATGTACCGACATAATTTTTATAAGAGGAGATCATGGGAAGGAACATCTGTGTCCCACCACCTGGAAATTCTCTCATTTTGTGGAGTGAAAATTTATTTTCCAGAGTAAATGGTGGGGGGCGGGGGGAGAATATTTAATGGTTTGCAATTTAAACTGTAAAACAGCACA